TTCCAGCCTAGTATTTTGCTTTTAGAAATGAAAATTCCTTCTCAATGTCTAATGTCCTCATCATAATGTTTTTGAAAAAAAACAAAGAGGGAGACAGAAAAAAAGCTTTGCTATGAATAAAGGCACCAACAATTTTATATTTAGAGAAAAAAAGGAATGATTTAGAGAAAAAAAGAAACAATTCAGTCAGTTAAGGATTAATTACAATAGATATATTATATTTTAATAATAAATTTAATCTAAGAATAAAAAAGTAAAATACATCTAAATTATTTTATGAATGGATCATATTTTAAAATATTTAAAATTTTCACCCATAATTTATGAAAGCTGTATTTTTTTAAGCCATTGAACTAATTTCCTCTTAAAAAATTATATGATTTTTTTTTAAAATTTCATCTAGCTTCCTTCACCAACTGGTCATTTAGAAAAATCATACTGCTATCTAATTTTTCTTACTTTGGATCTTTAATCAAGCCAGGACATGACTTAAAAAATGACTTCAAGTATACCAAAATCATATACACAAGGTAAATATGACTTGCATTAATAACAGATTACACAAGGTAATTATGACTTGCATTACTATTGCGAGATTCAGAGACAGAACCAAAAACCATTAAAAGTCACTAAGGATGGACTTGACATCACACGCTTGTTTTTTCCTGATGACCTTGTTCCTTTTTTAAGAAGCATCTATAGGGTAAGTGCATGTCATTAAAGAGTGTATTCAGAAGTTTTTCTTTTACTCGAGTTAAAGGATGAATAACAACAAAACTCATATGTGCTACTTGAAGAATGTTCATTTGAATAGAGTAATTGAATTGAGTAACAGGTTACAAGTGAAGCTGACGGGAGATCTTGGAAAGTATTTGAGAATACTGCTTATCCATAAAAAAGCCTCATATAATCTTTTTACTCCTGTTCTCAATAAAACCAAGAAGCATTTGTTGGGGTAGAAGAGGAAGGTCCTTAATACTACAGGTAGAACTATCCTAATCAAATCAGTTATTTTTGCAATGCCCAGCTATTATATACAAATAATGTTATTACTCAAAAAGCTAACTGCCGAGCAAAGCTTATAGGCATCTTGGAAGGACTTAACATTTGTTAGGCAAAAAAATTTGATAAGTTTAACGTCTACTCTGATTCTACAGAAGCTCTCGCACTTATACACAATGAATTCTCTACAAATTATCCCCTTGCTGGAACTATCAACAAAATCAGAGATTTTGTTATGAAAGACTAGATGATCACTTTTGATCACGGTTTTAGAGAAGCAAATAAATGTACGGATTAGTTGACTTACCAAGCTCCTGTCGAAAACCCTAGAGTTTATATTTTCAATACTCCACCTCTTGGTTGTATAAATTTCTTGTACGCTGATATAACATATCATATCACATAGCACAGTTTTCTCATAACCTTTTATTCAAAAAAAAGCTAATTGTCAAGATTGATCAAGAATACAGACACTTTTTATGGGGTGATACTAGTGAGAATAAGAAGTTACATTTGCTCGCTTTGAAGGATGTAATTCAAGACAAGAAAAAAGGAGGCTTAGGTATTAAAGATCTTAACATCCAAAACAAAGCTTTCATCTTCAAGCTTTATTAAAAGCTTCTCAATAATGATAAGTCTATTTGGATCCAGGTGGTAAGAGCTAAATAATTATGGTATTAGTGTTATACTAATTGTAAAGAAAAGGGCAAACATGTCATTGAATTGGAGAAGTATTGTTAACTGTTGGGAAAGCTTTACAAAGAGAGTTAAGTTTTGGACTAATTTGTGGGTACCTTTTGATGTACCCCTAGCTCACACAGCTATGAATGACAAATGTGATGCAAAGGCACATGTTGATGAGAATAGTGGTTGGAAACTTGACAAAATAAGATGTGCCTACCTAGTAACATCATTTATAGTATTGCTCATACTCATAGCCTAAGAGTTGAGAGAGGAGAGGACTCATTCATATGGCCGAAAACCATCTTCAGATGGAGATTTTAATGTTTCTTTTGCATATAAATTTCTTATTATGGGTACACCATCAACGGCAGGAGAAATCTAGAGCTGGATTAGGCTAGAAAAAATCAAGATTCATATATAGCTCTTAGCTCAAGATAGACTATAGACAACTACTTTAAGAGTTCATTGTAGTTGTGGGGGATTTGATCTATGTCCATGGGATTGCAACCAAAGGAAAGTTGTAATGCACCTAATCTAAGATTGTTTGAGAGTGAAGGAACAATGGAAGAGGTTAGTCAAAATCAAGGAGTAGAGCAATTTTAAAAATCAAAATGGAGTAGATCGGGTGCCTTAGAACTTGAAACACAATGTAGGGAATGAAAATACAAATCAATTATGTTAGGATGATTTATTCAGGCATGTTTGTTGGGATCTCTGGTGTTCTATATGTAAAAAGGTGTTCTCATTAAAGGAGGAGGTAGAGGAGAAGTAGCACCTTGACATTATTTAAAGGGTGCAAAATGAGCTTAAGCTGCAAAGATCTTTATCCACGAGATTCCTCAAGGAAAGAAGTAACAGTCAATGATAGAGATTTAAAGATTCTGTTATGAGACTCGATATAGATGGATCATATAGAGAAGATACCTCTAGATGTGGTGGTGTGTTAAGAAACAGCAATGCTAATTAGGTTGCTAGATTTAATTCAAATGTAGGAAACTTTCCCCCAACCATTACCGAAATTATTGCTATCACCCAAGGATTGGAACTTTGCTCACAAACAGGGCTCTATCATATTAATGTGTTTGCTGACTATGTAGAGGCGGTGAATCTTATCACTTGCTCTACTTTAACTTTGCATCCTTTTAGAGATCTGATTAGTTATGCTAGATTCCTTTTATCTAAGAGTAGCCCTCTTACACTTTCATTTATGTTTAGAGAGGCTAATGTTTGTGTTCATTTGTTAGTCACTAATAGGCTTGATTTATTAGAATCTTTTTATTCTTTTGATCAACTACCTCCTTACTATAGGAAGGTGGTGATGATAAGAGGAAGTCCTCTTTATTGTATCTTGTTGAACCTTGATTAGGATTGTTACCACCTTAAATCCAAGAAAAAGAAATCATCTACACAAGGCTACTGATTTGAAAGATAAGCTAACTTAGGGTCTATTGTTTTTTTCTGTTTTCAAAAACATATTTTTTATTTTAAAAATAAAAAAGGTAAAAAAATTGTTTAGATAAATGTTTTGATTTTAATTGTTTTCAAAATTAGTTTTATTATTTTTAATTTTTCTTATTTTTAAAACACATATTACTTTTGGTTCCTAACTAATCACTATCACAAGTCATCACCGTTAACTTCCAGCCACCATCATTATTTGCTAATTTTTTTAATTCTAAAACTATTTTTAAAAACTGTATTTTAAAACCATTTTCAAAGCAAAAAAAAAAAAAAGGGAACACAAATAAACATGCCTTTGTATTTTCACATTTTATGTTTTGTTTGTTTCCTTTGAAATCGAAGGCCAAGCCTAGATTTGGACCCATTTACGATAAACATGATAAACCCAAGGCCCCGGTTTGTTCATCATATATATTAAGCGCATTGCGTTGGGTTTAAAAAAAAAAAAATTGACTTGGAATGTCATTTTGTATCCTAGTTCACACATGAATTTTTAACCCCAAGCGCTCTTTAATTTGTTAATATTTTCTTATATGCTTTAAATGAATTTAGATTAGTAGTTCTAATTTGAACTTTATAGAGACGATGTTCTCTGAAAGGTCCTTATGACTATCAAAGGTAGACTTCCTCGCAAATTAATGGGTCACCGATTCAATTACAAAGACATCTTTGTAAGGCATTAGGTAATCACACAGAGAGAGAGAGAGAGAGAGAGAGAGTGGGGGTGTTGAAATGATAGTTTCCAAGAAGAAGAAACCAAGGAACAGGATCAAGTTGGTGTGACTACGCCCCTGGAACTTTGATTTCATTCATGATGCATGTCTCATGTCTTGGACTTGGAGTCTAGTGCATTAAGAGTATGGTAGCAATATGGCCAAACACAAGCATCTCGAGACATCCCACTTGTCCATCTTAATTTCTTTTCAATCCAAAATAAGTCTATCATATTATTAACTCCCTCATGCAAACTTGCTGCGGAATCTCCTGGTTGGTATAAAAAAGGTAGGTTATATATTTTCATGTTTGCTTGAAAGCAGAATTGTACTCTCATCACCAGACCCTCTGACATGTACCATCAACTTTCATTCCATGTCCATTTTAGCGGACTTTGCTTCAACATTTAACGTTAGAAGTCACAGAGTCTGCTCTGAATTATTATAATAGTTTCCTGTTCATAATTTAATCCTATATCCATGGACCAAGTGAATGCATTTTGTTTATCACAACTATAACAAGTAAACCCTATCTTCAATAGTTTAATTGGAACCCAAAATTATAATGCGTTGCTTTATCATCTGAATTTGTTGCCCCACTTGGAATAAAATAATTTTTCATATCAAAATCAAGTCTCCTTAATTTTAGGATAGCTGCAATAACAAACACGTCATATAACCAAAAAAATTAAATTAGATATCCTGTGTTTCCTCCAATGATTTAGAACTTAGAACCAGCAGCATATTATCAAATGAAAAAAATACAGCTGTATAACTAGTAAGCAATGTGATTTGCGACAAATATATGGATAATTTAATAAAGAAAATCTCGAGACTTGTCGTTTAATTTTCACCAAGGCTGTAATCGACCGCCTTTAACGACCATAGGACTGAATCTTTTGTTCAAGTTTTAAAGTAATAATCTCGGCGATTGAATGATGTGGCCTTTGAAGAATGTTTGGTACAAAACATGAGACAAATTGGTTGCTTTCTTATCGCATCCCTGCACGTTCGTCATGCAATCTTTTTGTACCTTGTTATTATATTACCCAATAATTGTCTCTTTCTGCATGATCAAGCAGCATATATATATAGATCTCCATGCACAGCGATTTCAAGCTTACAGCCATCTTGGTCGATAATATCGATCTGCGATTCTTTGGTAAATTCCCTAGTTTCCTCCGTAGCCTTTATTTCCCATGGAGAGAGATCCTAACTTCGAACTTCAACTCCCTCCTGGATTTAGATTCCACCCTTCAGACGAGGAGCTCATGGTTCACTACCTCAGAAACAAAGTGACTTCATGTCCTCTCCCTGCTTCATTCATTGCAGACATAGATCTCTATAAGTTCAACCCGTGGGAGCTTCCAAGTACGTGTGGTTATTACAACTTGAATCCAATATTGCTATTTTCTGTTTCATTTGTTTTCTTCATGAACAAGTCGCTGAAACAATGGTAGTTTTTGTTTATGATAGGCAAGGCTTTCTTTGGAGCAGACGAGTGGTTTTTCTTCACTCCGAGGGACAGAAAGTATCCGAATGGGCTGAGGCCGAATAGAGCAGCTGGGTCAGGTTATTGGAAGGCTACAGGGACTGATAAACCCATTCTTACTTCGTGTGGAATGAAGAGCATTGGAGTGAAGAAAGCCCTTGTGTTCTACAAGGGTCGTCCCCCTAAAGGGTCTAAAACCGATTGGATCATGCATGAGTATAGGCTGCTCGATTCAATGATCTTGAGTTACAAGCAAAGAGGCTCTATGAGAGTAGGTCAATTACATGATGCCCGTTGTTTTCTTTTTCCTTCCTCCTTTTCTAGATGATGAAAGTAAACCAAGTTTGGTTTTGATATAGATGTCATCATGTTATATATGTGTGTGTGTGTCTGTGGTGGTCCTACTGAAAAGTATGTTTGATGTGTTTATCTAAGAATATAATATATAGTTCTGATGTTTTCTTCCTTTTGTACAGCTGGATGATTGGGTTCTGTGCAGAGTTCGTCAAAAAAACTGCAGCCCTAGAAGCACTTGGGAGGAGTCGAATGAACCTAGTTATGAACCTACAAGCTACTTTCAACAGATGAACTATGAGAATCCTGATCCTGATGATGAAACTATCAAAAACTGTGTGGCCAATGAATTTCCCATGTTGCCATATATTCTAGCAACTAAGACGAGTACTCATCCTTCCAACGGACAGGCATCATCAAGCTTAAGCTTTCAGCGTAACGATAATGCTTTTGACCATGAAGACACCTCAAACATCATAGAAGCACAGTTCTCAGAATCTACTGCTGGGAGCTTGAAGAGAAAACTCTGTGAACAAGACCAATTGGAACTTTATGATTCTCCTCCCTTTAAAAAGCTAAGTGAGGATGATCATAAGAGGGACATGCTAGGCATAGACGCAAGCAAAGGCTACTACACTAGTGGTTTCAACAGCTTTGATCATTGGAATGCCATCATACAGCCTCAAGAGCTTAATAACTTGGCCTTTGCAGGATACATTTAAGAGATTTATTCACATTCATGTACGTATATACGTGTATATACATGTTTAGGCATGCAGAATGTGAAGATGAAAGATTGCAGAAAAAGAAGCAAGAGGACGAAGCTTTTCAGCATGTGTGTAGTGTGTTATACTATTCTTCATAGCTCATTGGCATTGAACATATGTGAAACTGTACGCCATTTGCTTTGCTTCATTTTAACAGGATTATCAGAGTTGCGTGTAAGTGACATTTAATATAGATTGTTTAAAGAACAATGTTGTGGAACAGTGCTTTAATAAACCTTCAAATTAGTTTGGGAATGCATTATACAGTCGACCTATAAAAGTTAAAATGCGAGTTATAAAGTTAACGTAGATGATTGTGATGAACATTTTTGTGTTAAGTTTCGAAAATGAGTATCCTTGGTTTATTTTATTGAATAAATTATATGTCGATGAATAGGTATATGATTAATCTGTTTAAGATAGGACCTATGTATTTGAATTTGATGTTTGATTTCCAATAAATAATTGTGATGTGACAGCATGAAAACAAAGAAGCTTGGATGGAATATCTTGAGGAATATGTTTTAGACTATAGTTCTCCAACAATGTCTGATTGAATAATATATTCAACCGATCGAGGATACTTAATTAGTGCGAAAGTATGTTGTAAAGGAATATGGAAAGTCCGTAATAGAAAGAGTGGGGCTCTGGCCATGGGCATTGACTAGAAGCAATACTTATGTTACGGCGAGGAAACTAGCTCTGCAACTCAAACAATCAGCATCCACCAAACGTCTCCAGTTCATTACTCGATATGATATATTCAATTGGAAAAGGAATCTTTCCAAGGGCAACCTACCCAAGAACAAAAGCGGGTAAATCTTACCCCTTAAATAATGCATTTGCACCCGGTGCTCGTCAATAAAAAAAAAAAATAGATCAGAGCCTTATGGGGGTCCTACATTATGATCTATTTTAAACTCAACCTAACTTATTTACTAAATAAATTCAGGCAAAGTTTATATTTTTTATTAGGCTTTTTCAATAGACCAAACTTATTTTTTTAAAGCCTTGCCTAGAAGTTCAATAAACTGACCTATTTACACACACACACACACGTATTATGTAATATATCACGCACACACGGTAATTTCACTATTTAATTTTTAATCGATCTATTCTTTTTTATTTTATTTATGTTTTTAATCCAATTGTATTTATATATTAATTTTAATATTATTATTTTATTATTGTGTTGTATTATGGTTAGTAAGTCCTTTTAATTATTATATATTATAATTGATAAATTAATTTATACGATATATACTAATAGTTTTAACATATATTTGAAATGTTTAAAACTAAAATGTTAGCTTATTTAAAATACTTACTTTTAGGTAGAATTTTAAATAAACTTGCAAGTCAGGCCATGCTTTAAGTAGGATCAGGCTTGAGCCATGAAAAAAATTTTATACAAACTTTAAATCAAACTCAGGCTTCTGACTTACCACACAAGCTTAAACCTATTTGGCCAAAGTTTGACTCAACCTAATCTATTTTCACCCCTACTCATCAGTTATAACAAGCACCGAGTGGTCATCAAGAGCAATTCTGGCCCTTGATTTAAACCTAAATTGATCTTTCCCATTTATTTAAATTAATTTTTAAATATTTTTAATATTATGTTTATCAATATAAAAATATCAAAAAATTTAAAATTTTAATAAATGTATTCATTACCAATCTGGCTAGTACATATTTAATTCAACAGTCTAATTTAATATTAAAAATTTTATAATTTTATAATTTAATTATCCAGATAAACTCTGAACTTTAAAGTTAATATTAAAAAATTTATAAATTTTATAAATTAATTATTTAAATGTACTTTAAATAATCAAGATTAAATTAAAAAAATTTATCTTTTTATGTTAATAAATATAATATTAAAAACATTTAAAAATCAATTTAAATATACGACAAAGATCAATTTAAACTCAAATGAAGGGATAAAATTGCTCTGGCCTAATGAGCCCATGAGCACCGTATACTATGCGGATGCTTAAATAATGCTCAAGTTGTTTAAATTACTTTTATCCTGATAACTTAAACATCCTTAATTCATTGTTAAATAGCTACCTTTTTTTTAATAGGGAGAGATGTTTATATTTTGTAGAATTGTCTCTAATTAAAAAAAATACCTGTAAACAATATTAAAAAAAAAAGGAGCTACTTTTTTCAACTTTATTTTTCGTGCGGCAAAATGTTTTCTTAAAAACTACTATTAAAACAAAAAAAATGAAAATTTCAAACAAAACAAATTATTAATCCGAACAGCGATTATGAGCTGAGGCTGCGGGCTCCGCGTGAGACTTTCGGGCGAGGGGTGAACGTCATGGAAGAGTATTAACTGACCATCTTCATTCTTCGCCAGTAGTCGTGTTCCCACTTCCGAATGGCCTTTTCAAAGCGATTTTTCCACCCTTCCTTTCTTTCTCACTGATAATGAAGTATAATAAAAGTCCAATAATAAAGTTTCGAACAAAATTGATTAATGGAAGCACGATGACATTGTTCTTGAAGATCACAGAAAGATTACAGAGAATAAAGAATGCAGGTCAGCAAGTACATTTTCATCTCATGTACCTTTAGGCTGATCAGATTCCACCCCACCTCCCTTTCTCCCTCCCTCCCAAGTGAAATCGAATACTGGTTCAAAATTAAAGAATATAATCATGATGCGAAGTCCTTTATGTAAACAATGCGTTTACAAGGTTAATGGAACAATATAATCGAATAGTGTTTTGTACAGGCATCCCCAAGACATCAATATCAACGCCAAATCTGTAGATATTGTGAAGCAAGGACATGAAGGAACCGTAACTATTAGACATAGCAACGGGTCGTTCCACCATATATGGATAAGGGACCTGACTGTAAAGGACAGACACATATCTGTATATCTCTCGAGTGCCAGAAGAAACACACACACAAACAAAAACAAAACAGAACGGAACTTCACAACTCACAAGCATGATATTTTCAGGAAAATACACGGCACAGGCTCACGTACGACCACATCCAACAAATTCAATACAACCTCCTGTATCAAATCATTTCTTCAGCACACTGCAATTAAACGCACAGGTTAGAAACTATTCCGAACAAGCAAACTTATGAGAGAATGCATCACCTAGAACGCAAGTTATACACAAGGTGCAACATCCAAGATATAAAAGATTCCAGTGATGCCATGAGGAAAGAGATAAACAGCCACATCAGGAAAATGAAAGATTTTGGTTAGACATGGAATTAATTTTTTCAACACCTTCACATTTGAAACTAAATTCACATGATATTGATTTTTATTTAATTAAAGTGGGGAAAATGATCCTGGCAACACAAAAAATACACTTGTTAACATGATTATGGTCTCAACGAACAAGTTTGACTCAGTCCTTTTATCGGTAGTAAGTTACAAAATTTCTCAGAAATTTGTTCTGCTGCAAATGAAGCATGGCAATGTCTGTAGCATGTGATGAATGCCTTTATGAAGAAACTTCACACCGGATCTACCAAAGAGTAAAGATGAAGCTCAAGATTCCCAAATTAAGTTTGTAGAATTTCAATCTTCATGCCAGTATTTATTCACGCATCCAGGTTTCCAATATTGACGTGAAGTTAGTAAGAAGAGGAATGTATATTGGATTTAAAATCTGTTAGATAAGAGAAATGCTGTTTTGTTTCAGGAAATCATAAAGTAGTTGAAAGTCTTACTTGTACAAATAGGCAGCAATTCCCAAAATTATAATCAACAGCACAATGTCAATGCAGAAATTTCGACTGGATCGAAGCTGTGTGAAAACCAAAACCATTGTAAGAATTAACAAGAAATCTGAAGTGCCTAAAAATCTAAGCTTAAAAGAGGGTCACAGTTAAATAACCTGGTTCACTGTGTCTTTAAGCCTGACATTGGTATTCTTTAGGTCAGATGATGCTTTGTCCACCTGGGAAGATCGCAAAACGCAAATAGTCATCTTGTCATGTTAGCTTCGACTTAGAAAATTCAATTATGTAATTTTTACATTCCCCCACATTTCAAAGCTTTAGCAACAGAAGAAAATCAACTTACCTTCGCGTCAATCTCATCCATTAGTGGAACTTGTCTATCTAGTTCCTGCATTTAGCGCACTGAATTAAAAATGAAACATAATATGATGGAGAAACAAAACACAGAGGAGAATAAACTCAATAAGGCAACTGACCTCATTCATATCGTGTGCCATGTTTTTCAATGTATCCAAGCCTTCTGCAATCATATCCAAACCTTCATCCTGCAGATGCTTTGATATTATCAGATATAAAAGCATAACATACAACATATACATTACGCAAAAAATTAACAAAAATTCCCCCCCCCGGGGCCAATATGACTTGCCTGCTTCATTTTACGCATTTCAAACTCTTGCCGGAATTTACTTGATTCCTCAGTTTGTTGAAAGTATTCACCGTCAAATTGACCATCTGTAGTAGACATGAATTACATGACTGTAACTACAGCGATAAGTTTAGAAACTCCCAAACATAAACTAATCTAACAGCACGAGATATAGATAACATTAATTACCTGAATCAAACCTAATTTCAGTACGTGAAGCAGAAGCAGCCCAACCTCCTGTTTTTTTGGGTGCAGCAGGGGTACCATCTGGGATAGCATGGATCCTCTCTGGCAGTACAAGAACTAGATCATTACGAGCAGCAAATTCTTCTGATGAAAGCCCTTTTACCTGCGGACGATGAATTATATTTTATCATGCATAAGGCACGTATAGGAATGGATGATTTTGAAGCTTTGCGTGCTAGTAAGTCAAGTTAAAAAAAGCACATGATTAAGCTATTGAGAAAACATACACAGCAAAGATACAATGAATGTACGTTTATGTAATCTTCTTTTTTTTCTCGTCGTCAAATTTTATTCCCACAATTTCAATTAGATCACATAAATGTACATTCTCGCAATGCAGAAACTAAGGAGTAATAACCCTTAAGAACCATTTTAATTGATAGAATCTCGAACTGACAGAAAGCAAAAACCAACCTTCTTTACGGCCAATCTCTGCAACTTGGGGACCTCCTCCAGCAACCGAGCCTTAGTACGACGAATCTCAGCATTGATGGCCACAACAGATGCCCTACTTTTCTCCTTGGAAGCAGTTTCTGCTTTCTACAAAGAATTGAATCCTGCGTGATATTAGAGATTTTTCTTTTCGGGGGGGGGGGTTGTTTGGCACCACAAAGTTCAAATAAATTTTCATCAGTTAGAGCAAGAATCTGTCATTACCGCATCTATCGTTTTGCCCACCAAACTAATATTGAATTTTAAAATACCCCAGACCTTTCCTTGAGTTTCTAAAGCAATGAAGAAAGAATGAAGAAAAATGAGGACCTGAACATAAGAAAATAAAAATGAGAATCTGACCTCGAGAGCTGCCTCGATGTCGGCTTCGACTACGGCGTAGAGTCGAGCAAAAGCATCATCACCGGAGATATTGGAATCCTTGTGCTTGTCGACGTCGTATTTGTCGTACTTCTTGCAGATCGAATCAACTCTGGTTAGAATGTCGATAACGCTCATTTTGTTACTCGGAATCAAAATCCAATTGGCTCAAACAGAAATCAACAGACCAGCAGTCGAAGAAGAGGTTTTTTTTTTTTTTTCATACATGAAGTTTTTTTCAGCTCAAAAGTCAAAATTGTTGAACAGTTGAAGCTCTTTTCTGACGGCCCTCCAGCTCATTGGATATTGCCAGTAACTTACAGCCTGTGGCACCACCAAACCGAAAACACTTATTTATTATCGTTATTATAATCTTCAGTTCTCGAATATCGCAAATACATACATACATACATAAACACATTGGTAGAAAAATATAAATTAGTGACAGAATTTAATAAAAGATTCTTTATTTTTCTTTAAAATATTAAATTAATAAAAAATTAGTAAAAAATATTAATTTCATAACTCAACTTAAAATTAATTAAAAAAATAGTGAATGATTGTTAATCCTCTCTAAATAAGATAACTAACGAGAAAAATAGTAAGAGATAGTTAATCCTTATCTAAAATAAGATAATTAATGAGAGATTCTGTTTCGAGCTAATTATTGCAAAAAAAAATTAATTTTTGACAATAATTTTAATTATATATTTAATTATTTTTATTTAAAAATAAAAATTTAATTTAAAAATTAACTAAAATATTCATAATAAAATTATTTAATATTTAATATTTTCTTTATTTTAAATTGATTTTCATTAATAAAATAATTTTTTATTAAAAATATAATATAAAGAATAATTTAAATAAAATATAAATATTTTTAACATATTAATAATTAAAAATAAAATTTAATATATATGTGTGTGTATTTTTATAATATATTATTTAATATATTTATATAGTAAAATAATATATATTTAATTTTTCACATAACGACTCTAAGTATCTTTCAATTCAACTGATAAAAAAGGAGAGTATAAAGCTTAGAAGGTAGGAGATTAAAGGTTCAAATCTTGATTTTGGCATAAATATAATGAATATATGAGATGGTAGGGACTAAGGAGCAGGTGACATGACGCAAGATGAATAATGATATATCATAAATTGTCACATATGTGACAGGTGATAAGGTATGATATGATCGGTGACACAACGATTGACAAGACACGAGTTTGTTAGCAACATGTTACAAGTTAACGCACACATGATGAGTGATGTAACATTATTATTTTTAAATATATACATATTTAGCAAGAGATTAGCGATAGACTAATCCTTCACTAAAGTTATTGAATTTTGAATAATAGTAGTGAGAGATGTGCCCCTCATTAAAAATTAGCGAAGGATTGAATCATTTGCTAATTAGCGAGTAAAATACGAGCCCTTGCTAAATTTAGTAAGTCTTTATTTAGCTACGAATTTAGCAAGGGACAAAATTCCTCACTAAAACACAATCCCTTGCTAAATTCTATTTTTATAGTAATGATATACATATATACATACACGTGTGTGTGTGTGTGTGTGTGTGTGTGTTTTGATTCTTGCCTACTTCGCTTCATTAGAAAACATGATGCTCTATCCTAGGGCTGCATAAAGGATTGGACTAGACTGAAATTTTAGCCTAGCCTGAATTCTGGTTTCTTTCATGAAAAGAATTAGGTTGGAAAACCCATAATCTGATTTGGTCTAGTGATAACCTAAAGATTAACAAAATCAAACTTGGTCCATAAGACTAAGAAATTGATCTTGTTAGTTCAGTACTCACTTAGTTTTTTTTCTTTTTTTTCTATGAAAGGCAGTAATTTATTTCAACCTAATAAACTTAATTAAAATAATTAAAACACTTATAACCATAATAAATTCATTATAATTTCCAAAAATAAGAAAAAAAAATTAGTTACAGTCCAAGTAGTTCAGATTATTAAATTATTGGTTTGAGCATGCGACTATACGAGAAACCAGACTTATTAAACTATTATTAGTCTTAACTTATTATTATAAATAATTAGTAAATTAATTATAATCATATTAAATAAATTTAATAGGACCAGATGATCTAGATGCCCAATCTCCTGTACAATCTAACCCAAAAAAATAATATGATTTTTTAGTCTTTTCAATCTTGAAAGACTAATTTTTAACAAGACCTAACCTTCTCAAGTCAGATTGGGTTGAATAGGATTGAAAAACTTCTACACAACCCTACTTTGTCCTGACAACTTTAGACGATCCACCCACCTTTTAGTTTTTCAATCATGTGACTAATATTTTAGGTAACTCGTGTAATATTTATAATTTTATATAGCTGGCACTAACTCCATGTTAACCTCTCACCAAAATGATTTAGTTTGATAAGAATATTTATAGAAAAAAAGTATGATTATATTTATTATTATTATTATTATTATTATTAAGAGGAATCATGTTTTTTTTGCCTTTAAATAATGCTACATTTGAAGAAACAAAAATTACATTATAGAAGATGTCATAGAGAATTACATCCACCTATATTTCATTTAGATTATGCTTTTCTAGTTGCATTGTACCATTTGTTAGCATGCAAGAATTTCATAAGAATTCCCATAAATATATGAAGTAGGGTTGTACACAGGCAAGCACAAGTAGAGGTGAAAATCAAAGCGGGCTTGACCTTTATGGGCTCGACCCTTAAAGGCTTAGGTCCTAAAATTTGGTTATTTAAAATTTGACTTAATTTTAAGGCCCAGTCTTTATTTATTTGGCTCAGGGCCAGGCCCTTGAGCCCTCTTTCTTGAAAAAATCTAACATTTAAATTTAAACATAATATTTTAAAATTCAACATAAAAAAATTGAAATCTCACATAAAATTTAACAAAGATTTAAAATTTTAAATAGATTAAAATTTTTATCAATATAAATTTAAATTCTCCACATCATCATCTAAAAATAAAATATTAAATCTCTCAGGTATAGGTTCACTTGTTGAAGATAGAGAGTGGATATTTAATATTAATTATGTCTACAACTTCTGCTTCATCATCCGTAGTAAATATTAACCAAATAGTGTTATTATCAATCAAACATGCGTGTGTAAAATAACCCAGCTTATCAGGGCTTAAAGGGTTGCCCGTGCTTAAGCCTGTTTTCATAAGGCTTATCAGGGATGGACCCTCAAGCCTGGTTACTTTAAAAAAAAATAATTTTTAAAACTTAAGCCCTTATTTAAATAAGACCTTTAGGCTCGACTCTTATTCTTGACTTTAAGAACGAGCCACCCATGACCTTACCCATTACCTACTCATTTTTAGTTAAATAGATGGCTACCCACTCGTACCCACATATATTTGTTTGCACCTATATGTGTGGGTGTAAGCCACCGATTAAGCCTTTTTTCCCAACTGAGGATTACCATTCAATAGTAACAAAGATCATAGCAATACAAAAGAGTTCTAAAGACAAAACAAACTAAACAACAAGCCATAAAGGAAAAGGCAGTAAAATCAGCTAGCCACCATCTAGGAAACAAGGTTATGTCGAGCAATACTTTGAACAATAGAGCTCTTAACATCTTTTACTATAATGATAGATAAAGAAGGTGAGGACACACACCCAAGCGAGCTCACCTCCTTACAAGCTTCTGTAATCAAATGATTGACTATAATGTTACCTTTATGTGGAACAAAGAAAAGAAAAAACCCAGCTTTAGATGCCAACAAAGCTAGAATATCGTCTCAAGTATTATGACTCATCCACTCTCCTAGATTAGGTTGGCCTTTCCGGATACAATTAACAAGAGTGAGACAATCATTCTCAAATTGCTCATATCTTGAGCTAGCATGAGTGCTCTTCTTAATGCAAGAGCTCCATTTAGCTTCCAACACTCAATTTCCTTTATAAAAAAATCAATCGAAACATATGTTTTTCATGTTTTTCTAATTTAACATAAATAGTATAATTTTAAAAGCTTAAACTTGTGAAGGATACAAGAATCAATAATTTAGCAATAAATAAGCAAGGATCAATAATTATAACTTTCAAATAGCATAATCTTGGTGCATCAGCCGTTTAGCCTCATGAATCCTCATTCAATCATTACATTCTTCAAAATCGCGTGATGATATGGCAAAAGATTGAGCTACTGACTCTTCCTTTACGAGATAAATTAAGACAATTAGATCAATAAGTAATAATATATATTATATAATATGGAGAATGAATCCAAATCAAATAGGCTATTTAAATTACCATCAATAGCATGCAAAGTCTCATCAAAATAGTCAGCATCAATCTCTTTTAGTGGGGTGCATGAGGTTGATGATAGCCAATTCTAAGTGCAAATGAGTGCCTTGGCCATTTTTAAAGATAAGGTACTCTTGAAAGTATCTAGCACCCGATCCCTCATATTAAAATTACATGGAATCTTTAAACCTAACAATGCGAACAACCTTGCACGTAACATAAATTACTTTATGCTTTAGACCTTCTAACCTAGCAACACAAAACACAAATCCTTCCTCCACTTGAGCTCTTACGCCTAGTTCACCTATAGTATGTTGCGAAGTTGAAGTGACGATGACCGTACTAAAGGATGGTGAGTGGTGATGAGTAAGGAGATGGAGATAGAGTTCAAAAGAGCTTGAAGATTTAAGGAGAATGAGAAGGAGATCTAAGGAGAAGGAGATGAAAGTTCAAATTCGGTTCAAGAAGAAGGACATGAAGGTTTAGACTTGGTCAAATTCTCTTTTTGCCCTTTTATTTTTCAGTCAACAAGTCAATTAAATCCAGTTGGCATAACAAGTGGAGTTTTTCAGTCAAACTTCAATTCTAGTCAGCATTTTCTAACAAAACGTTTGATGTTTAACGTTAAGGCAACAGATGCTTCAAATTAATTATTTAAGGGGTAAAAATGCTACGCAAAATACCTCAGGGTACTGGGTGCTCCTCGAAGAAAATATTAGGGGCAAAAATGCACCTTTACCCTTGATTTTAACACTTACACTTTTCAAGAGCCTTTAGACAAGTAGATCGTAGATCCCACAATTGTGATCTCCTTTGTTACCTATTTCTTATGTTTGGTTGATAACTTTCTCGCTATGTTCCTGATGTTAGGCCATGGTTTTCTCCTAAATTTTCTCAATTATTCAATAAACCATTAATGCCTGCTGATGTTACCATATTGAAATTTAATTTAAGGAAAATATAATATTTGGTCCTTATAATTCTATTAGGTTTTACTTATAGTCTTTATAATTTTTTTTCAATATCTTTAATCCCCGTAAG